CCTGTATATGTAAATCACACACAAGTACCAATCTCCAAATATCCTGTATATGTAAATCACACACACAAGATCCAATCTCCAGACATCCTGCATGTAACCTTGCCTACCTTTTTCAACAGATGGAAAGCGACATTGTAAGACAAGCCTATCTGGGAACTGGATACGAATAACTGTTTGCTTATAACGCAAGGCACGGTCCATCTGTAATGCTTCTCTCATGGATTTTGTCTCCAACTGTCGTTCCTCTAGTTGTTGCCTATATAATTCAAAATTGTTCTCAGTTTAAATATTAACATCTTCTGGTGTTTCTGGTACAGATTATATTAAACACAAATTATTTTGGCCAAATTTGTTTTCCATGTTACAAACTATTTGTGCCTAACTCGTTCTTTGTTCCACTACAGCCATTATTACTGGGCAACATTATAAGAACTAGAGCCATTATTACTGGGCAACATTACAAGAACTAGAGCCATTATTACTGGGCAACATTACAAGAACTAGAGCCATTATTACTGGGCAACATTATAAGAACCAGAGCCATTATTACTGGGCAACATTATAAGAACTAGAGCCATTATTACTGGGCAACATTATAAGAACTAGAGCCATTATTACTGGGCAACATTACAAGAACTAGAGCCATTATTACTGGGCAACATTACAAGAACTAGAGCCATTATTACTGGGCAACATTATAAGAACTAGAGCCATTATTACTGGGCAACATTATAAGAACTAGAGCCATTATTACTGGGCAACATTACAAGAACTAGGGCCATTATTTCTGGGCAACATTACAAAAACCAGAGTTATTATTACTGGGCAACATGACAAAAACTAAAGCCATTATTACTGGGCAACATTATAAAAAACAGAGTCATTATTACTGGGCAGGATGGTGAGAAAAAGTAAGCACAAAATAAAAGGGCGACTGAAATTATCAGAAAGATACCCCCTCTGAACTTTAAGATGTGTACTCATAGTTGATAACTTTAATAATTTTGTGTTCAGAAACAAAATGTTGTATTTTAAATCGCAATAATGAGGTGTGTTTGGATATCACATGAAGAACCTAACATGCAGTCGGGATATATCACCAAGTTCATCAATCAATTTAAAATGGTGCAATACTAAAGACTGTAAAATAAATCAACAGATTTTACACTGGTGAATTAGAGAAACTTCTGCTTTAAATGGGATTAAAATAATAAGTTTCAATCACTGCATTAACTAGAAGACAAATACTAACCTTTGTTTCTTTAAATCCTTTAACAAGTAGCGAACGTCTTCAACTGTCAACTCATAAGACTCATCTGGAAGATTATCTGACAAAAAAAAGAAACTATTCATTTAACCCATTGCCTTGACTTGTCCTCGAATTTATTTAAAAAGTTGTTTCTAATCAATATAGGCACGTTAACACC